CATGCAGACACACAGCATCGGTGCTGGACTGTTCCTGATCCATGGTCGTTTGCTGCAGAGATGGACAGCTTCTGTTCTGGTGTTTGCCATTCTGTTTCTCTCCTTTGCTCTTTTCTGCCTCCTAGCTTCAGTTTCCTTTATCAGTTGCTTCCTCCTCCCTCTTCCTAGAATCTGCTAGTGCAGATTCCCAGGAGCCGGAACTTGGCTGGCTCAGCTCGTAAACATTGCCTGGTACTGTTTCTTTCACACTTTGAGGGAAGGTGTGTCATACAGTACCGAAGCCAAAGGAGAGGTTTTGTTGTTGTTGCTGATTTGTTTGCAGAATTCTGGCCACCATCCATCCTGTGTGGGACACAGGTTGAGTTAACCACATGTGGTGTGGAGATGGTTGCAGTCCCCTGTTTTGCCTGAGGCATGTCTGTACTACACAGATTCTGGTTTTGTCAAAAACACTTGGAAACGTGTATATTTGATATACCTAAAAAATGAAGTAAAAAGGCTACTGTTGGTTGTCTGTTCAACAGTTATTCTTTCTCCTGCCTCTCTTCCTCAATCCTATTCAACTCTGAGTGCCCATGAAGTTCCACAGAGGAGAATCTTGATCATTTAGTACAGATGTCCTTGTCAAGGGACTGGTTTACGTGGGGCTATATAATGTAATTCTAGAAAAAGACACTTGAGAAGATGAAAGCTAAGAGTTTGTCAAACACTTGCTTACATTTACCTTTTAAAGATGTGTGGACCGTCAGGTTTGCTCCCCTACCTGCCTGCGTGCCTGCCTGCCCGTCTACCTTCTTCCTGTTAAGTCTTGGGATATATGTGTCTTCATGAGTTCTTAGAAATTGCAGCAGCTACATTAGGGCCAATGAGAAGGGATTTTTTTCTTTCTTTCTGGGACATTGGCTGAGCAAGAAGGTCAGCTGGGTGCTTTCTCTGCCTCTCTGAGCTAGTAGGCTTTCACCCCTTTCTATCCTTTCATCTGGCTCCTGAGTCTTTATTGGGATTTTGTTTAAAAAAAAAAAAACAATTAAGGCACACAACGGGAGTCCAGAGAGCTAGGTTAAGCATACTTTGAGTGGAGAGTAGGCTGGGGAGAAGGACGACACCAGCTCATTCTGAGGTATATGGCATTTCTCTTGCTGCTGCCTTCCTTACTGATGGTTACAAGGTACAGAACTTACCTCAGAAAAGAAACAGGCTACTATTTGTAGTTGCCTGTGCAATACTTATTCTTTCAGTTATTGGGTAAGCCCATTGAGAAGTGGCATCTTGTGAATTCTGCCTAAATACAACACAATTTGCCTACTACCTACTATTCCATATCTCAAAAGTTTACACACACACACACACACACACACACACACACACACACACACACGCATATTTAAGGCATAAGTTTATTTAGCAAAGCTCAGTGTTCACTGAAAATTTAATTATATTTGCACTGGAATTTCTAATAAGACAATGGCAAATGTTTAGATAGTTTAATTAACTTTTTAGTTGTTTTTCGATCTGCAACAACAACCTAGTACATCTTAGTCGGCTCTCCTGTAAAGCCAAGAGGAAAGAGTATTCCAGAGTGTGGTCAGATGGCTCAGTTGGTAAGAGCACTTGCTCTGTCAGCTTGAAGACCTGAGTTTGACTCTCCAGCCCCTGTGTCAAAAGCCAGGGATAGCTGTGTGTTCCTGTGAAGTGGATCCCAGAAGCTCACTGGCTAAGCAACCTAAAGACAATGGTGAGCTTCATGCATACACACACACACACAGGAGGAGGGAGGAAAAATATGACTATGTATTTTTAAAGGCAAATGACACGTGGACTTAGTTTCCTAAGTGGAAGCATAATCATGGGTTCTGCAGTGCAATAGGTTTGTATTAATATAGTGCTTGCCTGCACATGTAGTTTACATTCCAAACTGTAGGCACGGGGATCATTATAAGGGGCCATGTGCTCAGAAGTTTACAATTGGGACGACTTTGGTTTGATGATTCATAAGTCATTTTTTAGAAGATTTTTTTTTAATTGACTCAATGTCTACAAATAGAGTAGCATTATAAATTTATAGCCTCATACATTCTTTTTAGTTATTCATGATAATTTTATTTATATTTTAGTGCTTTAAAAAAAAAGTACAGACTTTTGGGCCCAGAAAAATGGCTCAGTGGGAAAAGTGATTACTGTACGAGATGACTAGAACCCCAGATCTGAGATGAGGAGCCAGGCAGATTGTGGTGTTTGCCGGTTGAAAGAGTTAATTTCCGTTCAAAGAGACCCTGTTTCAAAAAAAAATAAGGTGCAGCTCAATAAAGGAAAATACCCAGTGTCAACCTCAGGATTCCACATGAATGTGCAATGTGAGCACACCCTTATAACACACACACACACACACACACACACACACACACGGCAGTGGGAGGGAGACAGGCAGGCAGAGACAGAGACAAAGTAAAGACTCTATGATAGCTGTGTCTCGAGATATCACACATAAAGGACATTTTCACAATAGGAAATTAAAATGAGGTATATCTAACTTTTTAGTTGTTACCCGAGAAAAGTTTTGGATTTAGATTTTAAATTAAAAAACTGTTCATTCAACACATTTTGAATATATTGCTTCCCCTCCCCCAGTTCTTCTCCGACATTCTCCCGGCAACCACCCACCTAATTTCATGTTCTTTTCCCTGCTTAAAAAAATAAAAAAAGAGAAGACCCAAACCAAACCAAACAAACGAAAAAAGCATATGCATGTTACCAAAATGAATCATAGAGTCTGTTTTACGTCGGCCAACCATTCCTAAATATGAGGCTTGTCCTGGAGTGTGCCACTCCATCGAAGAAAACTGATTTTTTCCCCCTCTTCCAGCAACTATCAATTACATATAGCTTCTTGAATAGGGGTGGAACTTTGTATCTCTCCTCAGTGTTGGGATTTTGGCTAGAATTTGTAAGGTCTTATGTGACAGTCCCTGTGAGTTCCTATGTGCGTCAGTCCTGTTGTATCTGGAAAATGCGGTTCCCTTGAAGTCGTTCCTTATTTCTGGCTCGTACAATCTGTTTACCTTCCTTCTTCATGGATCCCTGAGCCTTGAGAGGAAGGAAGTCATAAAGACATCACGTTTAGGGCTGAGTGTTCCAAAGTCTTTCACCGTGCGCATTGTCTATTCGTTGTTTTCTGTGTTGATGATCATCTGCTGCAGGAAGGAGCTTCTCTGATGAGTTGAACAGTGCACTGCCCTGTAGATGCAGCAGTATATCATTAGGAGTCATTCTATTGCTATGCTTCTTTAGGAGGATAACAGTAGTAGGTTCACCCTAGGGTCCATGACCTTTCTAGGCAGAGATTCTTGGCCTCATTAACAGTGTCAGGTGTGGCACTTAATACTTGAACTGGCCTTAAATACGATTTTTAAAAATGGTTGGTTACCCCCTAATTTTGTGCCACTATTACACTGGTGGGTATGTCTTTTAGGCAGGTCACTATTATAGATTGTAGGGTTAATAGCTGGGTGAGATTTTTCTTCTTTGGTAACATGTATAAGTACCTTCCAACACGATGAATGTAAGTCAGTAGGGACAAGGCTTCTCATAGAGCCCAATTTCTCCATATTCAATGACATACATATGTGGTGTTTTCAGCAATAGGTTGAGGGAGGTAACCAACAGCTTTGGCAATAACCTATAATTTTTTTTTAAGGTACAAGTTCTAGCCAGACAAAATTCTAACACTGAGACCTCCTTTGACAATGACTAAAAAAGATGTAACCCACTCGTGGTGTTGGGGATTTTATCTGGTAGCATCTGATATCTACTTGGGTTATTCTCTCCCCTCCATTATATGTGAATCTATTTAAATTCATTTTTATACAGGAATGTATTTCAGAAGCTACTACAGTAGTAGATTTCCTTATGCAAGATGGCTGGCTCAGCAGCTAAGAGCACTTAAGAGCACTGGATGCTCTTATAAAGAACCTTGATTCAACTCCCAGCATCCACATTTTGGGCCACAACCATCTTTAACTCCAGTCCTTCCATGGAATCTTACATTCCCTTCCAGCCTCCATCGGCACTGCATGCATGTGGTACACAGACATACACACAGGCTAATCACCAATGCACATACACTAAACTAAAGAAATAGGTAAATATCTATTGATATCCAATCATATAAGAAGGTTGTTCAGAAGACTTTAAGAAAAAAATACCTTTAGAATGTTGATGATGTTTTGCTTTTCATCTTTTTGCTTTTAGTGTGTGTGTGTGTGTGTGTGTGTGTGTGTGTGTGCGTGCGCATGCAGCACTTGTATGTCAGTTTGCATGTGGAGGTCAGAGGACAACTTAGGAGAGTCAGTTATATCCTTCCACTATATGAATCCTAGGACTGAAGTTAGACTGTGAGACTTGGCAGCCATTGGCTTTGCCCATGGAGCCATCTTGCCATCCCCCTTTCCATTTTCTTTGCTCTTTTTTTCTCTGTGTGTAATAGACTAATAATTTATAAGAAAAAAAGTAACATACATGACACATAAAGATGGTAAGATATGGGTAGCAAATTAAAATAGATAGATTAGAGAGCACTAGTAAAACAAGACTAAAATATTTTTAAAAAGTAATTTTGTCTATAATTTCATAGCCCCAGTGCTCTCTGGGGGAGTTGGCTGTGCTCAGCCATGGTAGAACAGGTGGTGGAAGGCAGTTCAGCCTTCTGTCTTCGTAGGAGCACTAGCTGTCTGGCTCATCTGTTCTCTCCCTCCCTCTTTCTTCCTTTCTCCCTCTCTGTGAAGTGTTGAATTTATTTTAAGACCTGAATTAAAGAATTGATAAAGTAGCTGTGTGTGAACTTGATGTAAGTTTTTAAATGTGATATGTATTCAACCCCCCCCCCCCCATACAGCACCGGAATCAAACCCAGGGGGGCCTGGAGCTTCTTGGCAACCTCTGTTATTGAGTTGTCTTCACCTGTAGGATCCTCTCTAATTGTTATTTCATTTTTGTTGTTGCAGTGAGTTGCTGTCCTCTGGCTATGTGGAGAGACACATTGAACATGGAGGCAAGGTTGTGGAAAACAAAGTAAGTGAAATTTTCCTTCCTTTGAGGGTAATCGTTTTGAACACTGAGTTTGGGACTTCATGCTTGGTAGACATATATCTTAACAGTTGAGCTGTACTCCTTACAAGAAAATGGTACCTGATGTAAAGAATGCCAAAAGTCAGTCTCTGAAAGGGCTCTGCACAATTGCCATTGAACAGCCAAGGGCGAAAATCAAGTGCAGTGCATTTGATTGGGGTACGAATATGAATGTGAGAAGAGGAATACATTCATGTGAAAAATGTAATTGCTGCTTGCTGAGTCTTTAACATTGTAATTTTAATTTTAAAACATTTAAAACTATAATTCTAACACAGAGATGCACATAGAACCATGTATGGACTGATACGTTATTAAAAGAAGGCCTCTATGACTTCTGTACACTTCAAGCTGGCTGGTCAGCGAGCCCAGGTGTTGCTTTGCTTACCAAGCCCCGCCTCCTTTCCCTCCAGAGACCCTTGCAAAGACCATCCTCAACTGTGAGGTGGTCCTCTTCGAACTGTAACTGACAATTTTATAAACAAAGCATGTGTCTATTTAGTAGTCAATTTGGCGGTTCCATAGTAATGGGAAGAGGGATTGCTTCTGACATGAACTGATTGGCCTGCTCTTTGATCACCTCCCTCTGAGGGGGGAGCAGCCTTACCAGGCCACAGAGGAAGACAATGCAGCCACTCCTGATGAGACCTACCAGACTAGGATCAGAAGGAAAGAAAAAGAAACCCTCCCCTACCAGTGGACTTGGGGAGGGGAGTGTGTGGAGAAGGGGGAGGAAGGGAGGGATTTGGAGGAAAGGAAGGAGGGAACTAGAGGGGGGGATACAAAGTAAATAAAGTATAATAAAAAATAAAAAAGAATAAAAGAATTGGAAAGAAAAAAAGTCAATTTGTGTTTTAAAGTGTCTTAGAATTTTTTTTCCCCTCATAAGTTACTTGTTAAAAAAGTGAAATTGTTCATCTTATGCAGTTTCTCACAGTCTAGATTTCAGTGTCAATTATAATTTTATATTTAGAGCAAGTAAAATCCACCTTAGTGAGTATCTTTAACAGAACAATTTATTTTGCCTTTAGGGCCTTTTTGGTTTCGTTGAATGCATGCTTTATCCAGCATAACCCTGATTTTAAAGTACTAAGTAAATTAACTGTAATTAATAAAAAAATAAATAAATTTTAAGAAGTGATTAAAAAATAAAATTCTGTTATAGTTGTTTTTATTCCTTTTGCTCCAAAGTTATAAAAAGTCTTTATGTACAAAAGAGACACATATTTTTAGTCTTTCAATAAAACAAAAAATTTCACCTTTAGTTTTTAGGTATTTTGATTTGTTTAAAAACTAAGTTCCAGGAGCTAAGGAGATGACTCAGTCAGAAAAATGTCTGCCGTGTAAGCATGAGAGCTTTTGTTCTGATGTCCAGCGCCTGTGTGAAAGCCAGGCTAGAGGCACACCTATAATCCATCACTGGGGAGACAGAGACAGATGTCAGGGCCTGGTGGCCAGCTAGGTTTAACCAAATTGATTACAGGAGATACTGACATCAGCCTCTGGCCTTTCCACTCACAGGCCTTCATGTGGGAGCACACTCATACAAGTGTACACACACACATACCATGTTCATTTATACCCCTCACAATAAAAATAAAATGAAATTCTAAATGTAACCCTGTATGTAGAGTATATGTTTTTGTGTTTGATATGAGCTTCATTTTTTTTTATGTCTACACCTGTGTTCCAGTTAAATTGTTTTCCTTATAAATAATGATAGCTACTATCTGAATATCTGCCAAATGTCAGAGACATAATGTTCTCTGCCTCATAATCAATAGAACATTCTTTGGAGATATGTATTATCTACTTTTTATAAGGGGATACAACTAAGAATCAGTGAAGTTTTAAATTCTGCCAGAGACAAATTACAGTGACAAACAACACTGGAATTTAAGTCCAAGATCATCTGATATTATTTCATATGAAGAATTGTTTATATGTATGTATTTATATGCACATTTTTAATATTTTTTTGTTTTTTGAGAAAGATACACTCTGTAGTCTGGGCTGGCCTCAAATGTTCATCAATCCTCCTGCCTCAGCCTTTCAAAAGCTCAAATTACAGGCATGAGCAACCATACCTGGCTTTAAGAAATTGAAAAGCTTTCAACTTTGAGTGTAGAGAACGGCAACTTTGGATTTGAGAGAGAGGGAAATGGAGGTAATAAATACCAACAACATAGCCCAAACCATACAGTTTGCTGGTTTAACTTAGAGTCTTTGTTCGTCTGTTTGATTTTCTTTTTGTGTTGTTTCTGTTTGTTTTGAGGGGTAGTCCTAGAATGGAAATAGAACTGTTAGTATTCTGGGTAAATGAAGTTTCCAGTTACATAGTATCACAATCCTACTACTGATAATAACTAGCGTTCATTGCTAATGATTTGGTCGTACACTCACTTATCTGTGCTTCACCCTCAGAGTGACCCGTCATCATCAATAAAACTGCCCTCCTTGAACCCTGACAATGCAGCCACTTCTGATGAGAACTGATAGACTAAGATCAGAAAGAAGGAGAGGAGAACCTCCCCTATTAGTGGACTTGGGGAGGGACATGCATGCAGAAAGGGGGGGAGGGTGGGACCGGGAGAGGGAGGGGCTTATGGGGGGATACAAAATGAATAAAGTGTAATTAATAGAAGTTAAAAAAAACAACAAAAAAACTGCCCTCCTGCTTTATAGAGAGGCCACACTGCTGTTTGAGCCTAGACTAACTTCCTGGCCGAGCTTCTGTCAGATCTTCTAGCAGATAGGCTATAGTGCATAAATTAGGAGGGCCATGAGAAGTCGAAGTGGATTTTATTAGGCCTTTTGGAATGCGCTTGTAATTGATTTTGGACGTTTCTAATAACAATAACAGTAAGGTTATTATTATTATTTTTTTTACCCACAAGCTAGAGTGGGAATTTACCTACAGTCCCTGTAGGTTTTCTCTCATCTTGGGTTCAAGTAATTTTGGTTAGTTTTTCTGAATTCTCAGGTGCCTTAGTGCCAAATGGTGGTGACGTGCCTGCTTCGTTTTCCCCACATGAGCATCTTAAAAAAAAGAACCCTAGCACAAGTTTTCGAATATTAAGTGAGTAATGGAAAACCATTTTCATGTTCCAAAAACCTGTACGTGTTGGTGAGGGGGCAGATTCCCTCAGGGTCAGAAAGCAAAGTAAGTATTGCTGTGGAGACGTGGTTTATCTGACACCAATGAAGAGAGGTCATGGCCCATCATTAGTATAATTAGTTCTGATAGTATTTTTGTTAAATTGTTTTATCTCTGATGATAATAACAAAAAGGCAATGCCTTGAGTGTCAACCTGTGGTAGCTCAAGTTACTTCTAAATATAATTTTTCCAGCTTGCCTTTGTGTTAGGTGTGTAAGGTTAGGTGTGTTGAGAGAGTGCTGACTTTGGCTGGTAACTGGCTGGCTACGAGTGTTTGACTTGGGTGCATCTGATTCTCACCAGAAATCATAGCTTCAGAGTTCTGATTGGGTTCTCAGTGGCAGGGGAAAGATGGAGATGAATATAATGAAGTGTGGGTCAAGGTTAAGGTCAGGAATGCCATGTGATGGGGAGCGCATGTCAGAGGAGAAAGAACTTAATGGGCAGAGAGCTCATTGTGACACTCGAGGAGCCTTTTACTCTGATGAAATCTATTATAATTTACATTAAAAACATTCTAAGTTTGCTGGTACCATGGTGCACGCCTGGGATCCGAGTAGTCTAGGAGGTAGAGGATATCCTGACCTACAACGTGAGTCCAGGACAGCCAAGGGTACACAGAGAAACCCTTTCTCAAAAAACAAAACAACAACAACAAGAAGATAACAAAAAATCAAACCAAAACCAGGCATGATGGTGCACACCTTTAATCCCAGCACTTTCCAGGCAGAAGGAGACAGATCTCTGTGAATCCAAGGACAGCCTGGTCCGGGACAACAGGGCTTTATAGGGATTTGGGCAAACCCAAATGGACCTCATTTTTGGAAACAAAAGGGGATTTGATACAGAAGGAAAGAGAATGTCTGAGTTTTTCTACAGCTGCCTTTCCTCCATAGGGTTAGAGTGCTATAAAAGAATTCTTTATTCTCTCTCTCTCTCTCTCTCTCTCTCTCTCTCTCGTGTGTGTGTGTGTGTGTGTGTGTGTGTGTGTGTGTGTACATTCCCATGCCAGAGTGCGTTGGAATGGCTTGTAGAAAGGAGGCAGTTCTCTTACTCCACCATCTGGGGCCCTGGGAACTGACCTCAGGTAATCAGTCTTGGCAACAAATGCCTTTAATCTCAGGACCACTCCAGGACACCTTGCTGTCCCACCACTGAATGTTTCCTCTGTGGCAGAGTAGTGTCTTCCTGCAGACCTCTGCACTACTGAACTCCTTTAGCAGCCATTTTCCTGAGTCAGATTTCCAGCTCATTTCTTTCTTTCTTAAAATCCTACCGTATGGTTTTTTTTTAATTGTTGTTGTTGTTTTTTTAATAAATAAGTCAATGACAGGGAAAAAAAGATACTATAAGGACAGTTGTAAGAAATCATTAAGAAAAAAATTAATGTGGTGGCTGTTAGGCAACAGATGTTTGCCTAACTTTGCATTTTCCATGAACTTGAGCAGCACCAATAGAAAACTGCCTGTTATCCCCATTGCACTGGTGATTTCTTTGTTTCCTCTTCTAGATTACTGTCCATGAAGCACAATTCCTAACCTTCAAGCAATTCAAAAGCTTCTAATGTGCTGAAGGAACAGTGGTTTTGACATATATCTAAAAGTGTTTTATTTGGAAAAATCAAAACCGAAAAACCTTCACAAATAATTCTATAGTGTGATACAATGTTGTAGACTCCTTTCTTTTTCCATTAATTATTTTTTCACTTTATATCCTGATGCAAACCCCCTCCTCCCAATCTCACACTCATACCCACCTCCTTCCCACTTCCCCTCCCCTTATCCT